TCCTTCTCCTCTCTCCCTCTCTCTCTCTTTTACCCTTCAATTGTTTCTGTTCCAAAAAACCAACTTCCTCTTCCATGTGCTCACATTACCGCTATTATGCTCTGGTTTCTTTCCCCTATTCCAATTCTTTTAATACTAATTTGCTGTTTTCTTTTCATCAAATTATTTCCCCAAAAGTGTGCATAAAATTGTATTCAGTGTACTGACCCTGCAGATATCTCCTGAGTATGTCCTATAAATTAGCCACTGCACTGAATGCCAAGGATTCAACCACCTGCGTAACAATTGGTTTCTACTGTAGGGACCTCACAGGACATACATCAACAGATACTTTTGAGTTGTTGAGTCCTATGTGCTGGAAATATAAGCCATTACCATGGAGGACGAAACGGTTCCTCCTGGGTCTATGGGAAAGAGTGTGAGAAAACAAGAAAGGCTTTGCACTGGTGACACTGGAGCTGGGACTCAGTGAGATGAGAATTTCAGCAGACTTAAAGGAAAAGAGACATGGAGGCAGATACCTGTAATCCCATCACTTGGGAGGTGGAGGCAAGGGAATCAGGAGTTCAAGGTCCTCCTCAGCTCACAGTGGTGTGGAGGCCTCACTATGAGGTGGGCTATATGAAACCAACTCAAAAAAAAAAAAATGCTATGAAAAAGTTATATTATGGAGCAAAAAAAATTGAGTGAGCCAAGACATGGGGTAATTGTTTAGTTACAAGCCTATGCTGTGGCTGAAACAAAGTTAAGTGTTCACAGTGCAAGGAGGAGTCCAGGATAGCGTAAAAATCAGGGTGTATGACCTGGAGTATTTAATCTTTCACTCTATAGAAAGTGAGGTGTAGTTAATCCTTTTGGAAGACTCCTGGTATTATGACAGTATTGGGAAACACATATAAGAAAAATAAGACATGTATAAGACACATGTAAAGGAAAAGCAGTCAGGTGTCTCCTGCAAGAGCTATGTTAAAGTCATCAAACGCTTAAACAAAGGCAACATGTTGGGAAAGGAAGGGATGGACAGGAAATGGTTGGAGATTATAAAAACACTTTGGTTAACAGTTGAGTTGGAGGTTGGCAAACAAGGGAGGGGCAAGTGCAGCTCATGATTTGATGATGTAGCATGGGTAACAGAGTAAGACACTAGGAAGCTGGTTAGGTTTATCTTCAAGACCAATGGGGTAAATGCTTTAGATATAATTAATTACTTATGGAACCTTAAAAGCAGATATCCAATAAGCAACAAAGAAGAGTCTCCAAACTCAGGTTTGAAGATAACCAAATTTGGGAACTACCAGCAATCCATGCAACAGCTGAAGCTCTCACTACAGAAAACCAGAGAAGTTTGTGTTTTGAATTCTTGTACTGCTTACATTTTTCTTCTCTAAAGGGATTCCTTAGAGAAGAGTTTATCATTGTTCAGAAAATGCTAAGTTAAAAAGAGAGAAAAAAAACATTATAAAAGCAAATTAAAAATAAAACTAGGGCTAAAAACAGTAAATATGAAACATGGTAAATTTCAACGCTTTCACAGAAGCAATGCCACAGCATTATCTGGAATAAAAACAGCATCTGAGAACTGAAGAAGGAAGCAAGAAAGAGAAGAGAATGAACAAAAGGGACACAGGAAAAAGGGGGAGTCTTTCTTTCTTTCTTAAGTTTCACTTTGTTAACCCCCAAGTGAATCAGATACAGAAGATACTGAAATAATGCTGAGACTGGACTTAAAAACAGCAAATACAACAAAGATCTAAAATTATAATAGTATATATTAAATACCCAGGACTCAGTAGTCAATAAACAGCAACTATCAAAAATAATATCCCAGTGTATGTTACTATATCAAAGTCTCACTTCTAATTCTTCAAAGCTAAAAGACGGATTGTTGCAGTAGTTGAAAAAAATGCAATAGCTAAATTACATTTCTCAGGGCCTAACTTAATAGTGTTGCTGGCTTCTGAAGGAGGCATACTGTCTCAGTTGCTCATGTTTGTATTTTTGCACTATGATCCAGGCATCTACAAGTTATGACTTTTAGGTATTTCTTAGTATAGATGTCTGGCCTCGCCTTTTTTGGGGCAGATGATCTGGTCTTTGGTTGCTACTGACTACTGTGGGTCCTAGCCAAATGTGGTAGCTGTGGAATCCCAGAATCCCAGCCATGTGTAGTGGTTGTGAGGTCCCAGGCAGACAGCTATCCTGTATGTTGGCATGAGTCACAGGAAACTAAGGATGTGCTAGAAGGGCTGAAAGCGACCATGAAGAACTAGGGGATGCTGTGTCCACACCAAGAGACCCAGTCAATGAGTGACAGAACATAAGATTCAGTTTGCTTATTCAATCTCAAATAAAGTCATACAAAACCCAACCATCACACAGGTCAGTTAAGTGTCTGCTGGGCTAATGAGAAGCTACAAAACAGCAACATCTCTATGACCCTCGATATTTGCATACTGCTGAACCATCTGAAACAACTCACTGTCCAGGCTCAAGCAGTTGTGTTAAATACATGAAATCAAGTCTTAGTTTTGTGTCCAATAACACTCAGGATCCAGTAGTGAAATTTTCTATTAGGTGTTGAAGGTTGGTCTGTTACTGACCCTCAAGATCTGGTTACACCTATCCTTGTTTTGTAAACTTGCCAAAGACATTATTCCTGCTTGGTTAATTAAAGGTCTACACCTGGGCAGCGCAGAATGGGGTAGGTATAGCTAAGGTTCCCGGGCTTTTGAAGGCAGAAGAATCAGGAAATATAGACTGACTGGAAGAGAGGAAGATGCCATGATGGGTTAGTGTGGAGAAAAAAACCACGTGGGCCTAGAGGAAGGACTCCAATAATGGCATGAAATAGCCCAGATGAAGAATACAAGCAAGTACCATGGGATTATGGGTGGAAGGTGGACCAGATGAGGAGGATTAAGGTGGATGGCATTGGATGGGAGGATTGGATTGTGAAGTTACTGAGCCAGCGCAGGTGAAGTATCTGCTCAGCCCAAGGTAAATAAGGCAATTATAAAGTCTAACGGGTGTCTCTGTCTTATTATTGTGATAGAGGGTTAAATAATACTGCTGTGATAATCTTAGGGCTACTAATAAACATTATATAGCCCAACACTAATTTTTTAAATTTACAACAAGAATTAGGGTTTAAATTGTGAGTTTTACCAGATGTCTTATTAAATCCTGTGTGTGCAGAAATTATCAACTTTAATTTTTTAACATTTGCTTATTGTGTATGTGTGAGGATGTGTGCCACAGCATGTGACATATGGGGGAGTCCATTCTCTCTCCTTCCATCACCTGAGTTCCAGGAATTGAACTCAGGTTGTCAGACTTGGTGGCAAGCATTTTCACTCACTGAGCCAACCTGCTAGCCCAGTTCATTTACTTTTGTTTCTTAGCTTGTATTTGTAAGAAAACTTCTTACAGACAAATATAATTTTTAAATTCCTTATGTGTGATTGCAGTAACTAGAATTGAAAACAAAATGTTTCAGTAGACCAGACCTTTAAAATATAAGAAATTATTTGACAGAAATGTTTCTGTGTACATAGTAGCCTTGGAAGAATATATCTCAGCCCAAACTTAGTTCAGACTGTAGAATTCTTCCAACTCACTGCAGTTTTCAAGGGCTCTGGGTGCTTAACTCTTTGAGTTCTATATACTATGCATCTGGAGTTAACTGAAAGGCCATGGGCCACCATGACTTCATAAACAGTGCTGTGGCCTTTCCTGGTCAGAGATAGATGCAACACACATTACCTAGAATGAAGACATAATTTTACTTGTTTTACGAACATTTCTCAGGAAGCTCAAGAACCACATTAGACATTAAAATAATCACGTATGTGTCAATTGCCAAATATTCGTAAACTCTGACACCATGAGGCATCTTAATAAAACAGCAATGAAGTTCGGTGTCACAACAACCAAGAGAGCTACTCCTGAGGGCAGCGCTGTCTTCACCTGCAGTGGGCCAACCCTGCACCCACGGTGATCTGTCCTGTAGGCTTAGCTCTGTGGAATGACTTCTACTCCCATCACTACATTTCTGGTTGCTAAATTAAAATTTTTAGTCCTTATTTGACTAGTTGGTGGCACATAAAAACCGACCCTGAGGGAGAGGAACAAAAGAGAACAAATTATAGTGCCTCATGTGTATGCAGAGGCCATGATGAAACTTCATATACTTCACTTCATATATTTACCTGAACAATTAAAACAACAGAACGAGACCCTGGAGCCAAACTCTGATTCAGATCTTGGCTCTGACACCTTTTAGCTCTGTGGCTTTGGACTATGTTTAACTCCTCTGTACCTCAGAGCAAGTTTCTTTGTGGCATGTTAGAAGCATTCTTTAGTAATCTTCGCTTATGTGGAACCGCTGATCATTCCTTTCTTGAAAAACCACTTGAAACTGGTCTGTTTACTGCCCCTTCTGGTCTGTTTACTGTCCCTTCTTCAGTTCCATCTCCAAACTTCTAATCCAATACATCTTTTACATTATGGTCAACTCGAGTGTATGAAACTGCAAATACGAGAGCACCCTGTGCCACAGCTCCAGTAGGGCAACCTCTTAGCAGGTTAAGCAAGGACAGTCTAGTTCTCCTTGAGTCTCTGCTTATCCTGAGCTAAGATGAACCAAATGTACCCCTCTCTTTATACACGTCTCACATGCCACCATCTGTCTAGAATGTTTATTCTACATCTCTAGAAACAAGGTAGCTGTCATTTAATATGCTCTCACCAACATTATACCAGTGTTACACTTTCTACTTGAGGATGTGTTTTGCCTAGTCACACATTCCTGCTTCCACCTACTAAGGACACACACCAGAGGCTGCCTCTTGTCTTCTCTTTGTCCATCGCTCTGACCTTTACCACTTTCTTGTTTCTCTGTTCATCATTTACCCCACACCACTATTTCAGTGCCCACTGAGATGGGGTAGAATAGCACGTGTACAAAAGTTAACTAGATAACAAAACTTCACACTGAAGGGAACATTCTAGAAGTATTTATTTCATTGCTGACCATTTGGTTGCAGCATGCAACTCTCAACAATGAGCTGCCACCCTCCATTCTTAAAGAAGCACCAAATAATTATGGTGCGACTACTTAGGTTTTCAGTCTTCCAAAGGCTTTTATTGCCAACATCATTATTTATGAGATAAGCCTTTTAGACTTAAAAGCACTTATTTTCTATAAAAAGCCATTTTGTATTTCATGCACAAAACTCTAATCAGCAGATTTATGTTCATAATAGAAGAACATTTATTGTAGTTCTGTAATGATAAGGAATACAGTAAGCATCCCAACTGGCCCTCTCAAAGGAAGGGAGACTGTTGTCCTCCACCAGGAATAGGGCAGCAGTGATGATCCTTAAGGTTATAAAACTGCTTACTAAAAGTCTTTCCACAGATGTTAAGAAATAAGAAGTTGGCTCATTTTCCCGAACAATTTAAAGAGATGCTTGCAGTGTGCAGAAGTTATGTTATATTGTAGACCCTTGTGATAAAGGCCTATTCTTCCCACTCATAAAATTCTACCTCAGAAGGTAAAAGGTGAAATCCCCATCATCCCTGAGAAAAAAAGGGAAAGAAGTCTACTGTACTTTCATTGGTTAATAGAAGTCACATTGTTCATAAGTCATCTGTCTCTACAAGACTCTTGCAGAATTTAGATGAACTGAATCAGGAATGAGGGGCTCTCAGAGATGTTCTCCATAATGTCTGTGAATATTTGTGTTTGAGTAGCTGCAAAGACAATAAACTAACTATACTGCTGAGAACATCACATTTTGAAAGTTGGGAATATCCTGGTAGGATGTTTATGGGACAGGAGGCTTTGAATTTAAGCAAATTATGTCATAAAGAAAATCAAGAATGGGAAAAAGTATAGAGGACAAAGTGGGAGAAAGGGGCAGGACAGAGCTGGAGTTCTGAGCTGGGCCTTTCTTTTCATAAAGCAGGGCCTCTGACTACCCTGTGCTACGCTCACTCTACAGTGACCAAACACTCCAAAACAATAATGTCCCAAGAGAATTAAAAAGTAAATGAGGAGGCGGGGGAACTCTGTAACCTCGAGGCCAGCATGGTCTATCTGAGTTCCAGGACAGCTGAGGCTAGATAGCCTGTCTCAACAAAACAAAAAATAAAACAATAAAAACAAACAAACAAAAAGAAATGACAGAAAAATTCATCCTTTTAGTCAAGCAATACAATATAATTTCAAGGTATATTAATGTAATTGATTTAACCCCAAAGCAACTGTGCAATAAGCAAAATATAAAAGGGAAATATCAAAGGTTAACTTTCCACAGTGGCCCACACACAGCCCTGTGCGTCAAAGCAATTAACCTTCAAACACTTTGAGTCTTACTTGGAAGTCAGTCGCAAATGTCACCAACAAAGGAATGTCCATTAGAGTTAAGACTCGCCAAAGGGCCACCTTCTTTGAAGGAATTTCAGGATGTTGCTAGCATGGGTTGGCTTATATCTCACTGATGGCTCCATCAGAGAGAGAGAGAGAGAGAGAAAATGCCCCAGTTCTGCTGTCTTATGAATGTACTGGGAGGGAAAGAAACAAAACAAACAATCTATTGTTCCCTAACATATATGGCTTAGCACCCAGAGAGTCTCTGCCCCCAGAGAGACTACCATGTGGGCCAAGCTTACTTAAACGAGGCACCAGCTTTCATTTTCAGGACAGGTCTTTTCTTGCAAGGTCTTGAGAGGCAGAAGTTCCACTTGGGTTCTAATACACAGCCCTGTGAGCTCAGTTTCCTGAAAACATACACCTGCTGGGTTCTAGGTTCTCCCTTACCAGTGACTAGGCTCACTACCTCACAGCCACCAAAACCGCACATACACTATCAGCATGATGAAAAACACAGCTACTGCTGCAAGTTTGGCATAAGTGGAACGCATGTTCAGGTACTTTGCATCCTGGCGGTATTTCTTAGATAGACTGGACAAGTTGTTAGCCTTTGAATCCAATGCTGAAAAGAGAAAAAGGGAAATATTAATTAGATCCCTGAAGTACTTTATCAAAACATTAAAGCATAAAAATAATCAAAATGACTGGCAGAATAAACAAGCCACAGAGTTTAAACTGTATTTAAAAATAAAATAATAATTCCATTACCAAGATGTGAGTAGGTGTATTAGCTGCTTTAGAATGGGGGTTTCGGCATATGATAAACACCTGGTAAGTGGCAGCAGATATGCTTCTCCGTGTTTTTATTTTTATTTTTCGTGTGGTGCTGAGGGACTGCAGCACTGAATGCCCAGCAGGATGGTGATTGATTTTTGTCTGTTTGCTTTGTTTTAAGGTTTACTTATTTTCACTTCTGTCTGTATGGCTGTGCACATGTGCATGTGATGCCCTGGGAGTTAGAAGAGGGCTCTGGCTCTTCTGAGTGAGAGGTACAGACCATGTTGAACCAGCAGATGTGGGTGCTCTCGGGTCCTCTGCAAGCAGCAAGCACTCTTTATCTATGAGCCACCTATCTATTCTAAAAAACTATCATCTTTATATGCTAAGTGGTCTAAATCACTCATAAGGTAAGACTAGGATAACCAAAAATGTTCAATCAATCAGACACTGGTGTAAGGCTATACTTCCATGGTGACTGCTAATTTCAAGATTCTTCAGAGTAAAGGTATTATGAAATCAAAGCTACACATGTAGTATTTCAACATATGACAAAAGTAAAACGTAATTAAAATACAGCAACAGGTAATTTAAAAAACCCACAAATACTTAGCAAGTTAAGCCATTAGCATTTTCAACAAAGACTGTGCCCAACATTTATAATGTTGCTGTCTTCTTACATATTTTAACTATGAAAACAAACATTCTGACTGACATATATACATTCTCCCCCCCTCCCTTTTTTTTTGGTTTTCCTAGACAGGTTTCTCTGTGCAGCTCTGGCTGTCCTGAAGACATAAATGTATTCTAATCCAACTTTTCACTGTTCCAAAGTTTAGTCTTGGCTTGTTCTTCCTTGGACATTGCTTTCTAAGTAGGATGTGATGGCACAAACCTATAATCCCAGGAGCTTGGAGATGGAGACATGAGGACCATGAGTCTAAAGCCAGCCACTGCTGCTTAGTGAAACCATCTCAAAGAAAAGAAAAGAAAAGAAAAGAAAAGAAACAGAAAGAGAAAGAAAGAAAGAAAGAAAGAAAGAAAGAAAGAAAGAAAGAAAGA